GCAGTTTTGATTTGTTCGATATTAAATTGGTTAAAAAAACTTTGAAGTTAGTTTTAATTCAGTAATGAGGATTGTGCATTGTTCCAAGAAATGAATCCTTTCTGAAACGCTTGACAGTAAAGAAGTTCAATGTTTGGTCGAATAGCTTTTATTCTATTTTGTCTCAAATTACCTCAGAAACTGTTGTCTTATAAAAACACAAATTACGTGGAAGAGGTAATTTATGTTTTTTTATAGAAAACATAAATTACAAGACAGTTTTTTCATTATGTCTATAAACTTTTAAATTAATTTTTACCTTTACAGATTAAGTAACATGCGGGTACCCAATACAGCACCAATCAATGATCGAATCGATCTCACTTCGGACCATATCTATAACGAAGACGTGGTACTGCCGCGAGCTAAGGAGAATCTTTTTATTGATACAGTATTGTGGTGTCATGAACAAAACCAAAAATATCCTTGGACAATGTAAGTTATATCGGCATCTGTATTTTGTTGTATGATCTCGTCAGCTATTTAATTAATATTTGACAATGAAAGACAACAGTCTATAGCTAAGCATTAATTCATTTCCATTATTTGTATTACTATCGGCTGTGTCTCCTCTTTAATGTTTTGCTTTTTATTATATTGCTTTGTATAGTTTTTTTTCAAGGAATAAGTGGCTCATATAGGTAAAAGTAGATATATGTTTGTGAGTATTGAAAAGTTTTCTTATATTTTTATTGGCATAACGGAGAGTACTGAAAAAAATGGCGAGTGAGATGTTAGAAATATGAATTATCATTGAAAAAGAAAGGTCAGAATCAATTTCAAGATTTTATGGAAACGACCTATACTTCCACTGTTTCAAATTTTAGATTCATTTACAATGTAAAGAGCTTTAATTTATTCGAGTACTGAATGAATGTTTCTGAGTTAAAATGGTGCTTCTTTCCTGATAAATCTATTTAATATATTTTTGTTTTACACCAATATTTTTCTAGCGAACAGTTAGGTGCTAAGGCGATAATGGTATGCTTTGGGGCGGCAATAGCACAAGCAACACGACATGGTCAGTCAAATTTTGAAAATCTCGCGGACCAACCAATAATTACGCGTGCTGTGCAATTTGTTAATGGTCGATTGGATTTGGTGGTATTCCAGTTGAACACACTCGATTTAGGAACTAATAGTCGGTATAAAAATGTGGTTTGGATTGAACCAGGTAAAATATTCAAGTTCGTGTTGATTCGTGTTTCGTGTTTGTGTCTGTTGTTTCTACTGATATTTTTGTATTTTGGTATATATTTGGATTGAAATGTTTCAAAATGAGTTGAACTTTATTATCCTTAAAAATAAAGAATAACTCAATCTTTACTTTTTTCAGGTCTTCAACTGTATAAACCTGAGAATTTTACAAAAAATCTCGATACAGTAAAAGATCTAAATGTGGATACTTTCAGAAAGTTCATGGCTTTATTATTGGTGAGATGATAATTGATAAATTGTAAAGTATACCTTTGTGTTTGAATATTTTTGTTGTTGTCTAATATTTTATTATAATCTATAAATTCGGTTTCGTGAAGTGCATAAAATTTTGTCC